AATTCACATTAGAAGGAAATTTGTTAAATGAATTTCAACAAAATTTTGACTTATTTGTTAGGAATACAGAAGAGAAACATAATACATCAATGAAGTTCTATTTGCCTTTTTAATATTTTTATTAGTTATAAAAGAACAAATTATATATATATTAAATTTAAAAGCCAGAAGATCAATCATATTACCATGAGGGTCAGAGAGACAAAGCAGTGGGTAGGGTACTTGCCTCGTGCAGGTCAGCCTGAATTCAGTCCCTAGTATCACAGGAATGAACCCTGAGTATAGAGCCAGAATTAAGTCATAAGCAATGTCAAGCATGATACCCCAAACCCTCATCTTGTTACTATGCAGAGTTAAACAAATATTATAATAAAATGAATTGTATTCCTCTGCAAAAAAGATATACTATCAAAAGTATTTGTGCTATTACTAGTTCTTATATATTAATAATTTTTTTTTGTTTTTTGAGGGCCATATCCAGAGTTGCTTGGGGATTATTCTTTGTTCTATGCTTAGAAATCATTCCTGGAGGTGCTTGGGGAACCAAGTGGGATTCTGGGGATGGAACCAGGGTCAGCCACATGCAAGGCAAGTATTTTACCTAGTGTACTATCTCTCCAGCCCTTAATAGAATTATTTAAAAATATTCATTCTATGTTAATGACTTTCAAGATGTCATTTATGTATGCTTCATACCTATGGAACACGCTACTAAATTGTACACACATACAAAGTTCATTCATAATAAAGTAGATATGCTGCTCAAGGAGAGTGCTGTTTGAGTATGTTTAAGAAAATGGACTGGGAATAGCTGTCTAGGAAAATTTGGAAATAGCTAGAGTCCAGCAGTGTCTCTGGCACAATGTTAGTATTTAGACCTGTTAACTGATCACCCTTAATATTAAATCTTGGGAAGTTACATATGAGTTGTGCGTGTGTCTCACTTCCTCAGAACATGCATTTTATGCAGTAATTCTTCTGCCTGAGTATATCCATGTGACCATCCAGGTAGTGGTACATAGTTGTTATTCTACTTCCTGAGTTTAGCCCACCCGAATCTAAATGTTGGCCCCATAATTCATTAACTTTGTAACCCTTAAAAGATGTACTCCATCTTCTCTGTGTCCCAGGTGTCCTTAAATTCAAAATTGTGACAAGGATGATACTACCTCTTAGATTTGGGGTGAAGATAAAATGAGTTAATATTTGGAAAGTACCCAGATCTAAGTTAGACATCTGAAAAGTGTTCACCAAAGGTTAGTTGCCAGATACATAAATTATGATATACAGCGGTAGGGTGTTCACCTTACAAGCGGCCAACATGGCCGACCTGAGTTCGATTCCTCCACCCCTCTCGGAGAGCCTGGCAAGCTACCGAGAGTATTCGATATGCCAGACACAGTAACAACAAAGTCTCCAATGGAGACGTTACTGGACCCGCTCGAGCAAAAAGGCCTTTACCTTTTACTACATTACATTGGAACACATCCACATATACTTATTTATGTAGGTATTTGTATATGAACATGTAAATGCAAAGTCAATACAATCTGGATGAATATACTGGTATATTTCTATTGCATGCACTTTTATTTATACTTCTGGCTCTCATATATATTTATTATATTTTAATTTAGTAACAACAATCATTAACAGTAAAAAGTTACTTAGCTCTAGTTCTAGGCATTAGTTTATGCACTTTATATAGATTATATGGTCACATTTGGAACAAAACATGTGACATACCATACTTTTGTTATTTCCATTTTACAGATAGAAAAACTGAGGCCTGGAAACATGAAGTAACTCATTTAAGTTGGCCCTGCTAGCCTATTATAGTGACAGAAAGTCTGGTTTCTTAAGTCAAGGCTTACCACCTCCCTACTATTTTAATAACACCATTTAATGCTACTCCTACTTGTCCTTAATATTTTTATGTGGATGCTTAATATGTTACAAAATACTTTCACATACAGTGAGTCTTGTACCCAGCCTCTGAAGTGAGTCCAGCAGGATTATTATGCTCATTGTGACAGTAGTGGATACTGAAATAACTGGAACCAGGGAGGTCTGGGTGCAAGCTTCTGGGTGGCTGATATTGGGTGCCTCATGCAAATGTACTGAGTATTTCCATAGCCTCATACTCGGACACTGGTGTTGAGGAAGTGAACTGACATCCTCCCTGGAAGCATCACAGCCTAAGAAGAGACAGGGGTGCAAATCAAGAGTCAGGGCACAGACACACAATATGTAGTCTCTAAAGGGCGCTGTGAAAAAGGACTTATGGCGTGCACAGAAGGAGGGACCATCTGTGCCAGGAAGGTCTGAGAAAAAGCAGAGGGGGCAGCAGGGATGGGGGCGGGGCGGAGTTTCCTGAAAGGGAGAGTGCTCGCTTGCAGTATGAATCCCGGTTTGTGTCCATGATGTATGGATCTGTGTCTGTGCCCGCTGACACAGCTTTCTCATGTATTAATTCATGCGCAAACTCAGACTTGAAATGAAGAAACCCAAAGCCTGAATGCAAAAGAGAATGAATTTGGATCTACACCTCATAGCCCAATCTCTAAATGATCGCCCCCATTTTCCCTTCTTCCCCTCCTTCACCAAGGGAACCAGAGATGCCAGTTGCTTCCCCTTCAAGCAGTTGCCTCATGAACTGTGGTGATTAAACCCACCAGGCTTTTCCATCTGTCAGTTTGAGTGTATAGTGGCTTAATAGAGCCACAATAATGGAGGGTAAAGAGGACAGGTATCTGTGGGTGTCCATCTGTGGGTACACTTATGGCTCTGTGTACTTAGTGCTGCTTTATCTTGGCTAGACTAGGGAGAAAAACAACCCTTCTGTCATCTTCTCATCTTGCAGAGGTTCATGCATTAACCATTTCTACTACCACCCAAATGGTCTGGTTTCTGCTTCCACATCACCTCTACTTAATGTCCTCTACTAAACTGTACTTCTGTGCTGGCACTGGGCAGAGGCAATACTAGAAAAAAAATCATTGACTGTCTAGGCATTCCCTACCTATTTTGTATCCTCAACCTATTCTGGTCCAGAAATGTGTCCTTCGCAGAACTCTGTGAGAAAAGGCAAACAGAAATGGTGATTGCCATGAGGAACCCAGGAGGTCACCCCCAGGTGTGGGTAGATTCCCTGAGGATAAACTCTTTTTCAAACTAAAATCCACAAAGAGGGAAAATAAGGACCCTTTTTTCTGCAATATTCCCCCAAGGATTTAGAGAGGTGGAGAAGCTATAATACTTTTATGTCTTCTAAGCTTGCACAATCAAAAATAGCTAAAATGATTGCAAGGAAGCAATGGTGACTAACACTATTTTCCTAAGGTGGCAAAATAATTGAACTAAATTCCCCCCTTGTGTTATAGGACATATAAATTCAGAGCCAGGGGTTATGTAAGGCAAAGGTATATACTGGATTCCACTGATGGTTTGTGTCTGCCTCTAGCCCATCATACAGCTGGATATTTGCATGTTGAAACAAGTAAGAATGAACCAACATATAGTATGTCATATTTTAACTAAAATGAATGAGTAGCTGGTGAGGAAAAAACATTCAGAAAAATAGGACAATCTTATATGATGAATCTTGAAATTACAATATTTGGATCCCATCCCTAATTCCATCAATGACTTAATCTATTGAAAGGTTCTTTTAAAAATTATATGCTGGAAAATTAGTCCAGTAATAGGATATCTCTCAAAAATACAAATATGTTTAATCAAGTGTTATAAAGTTTAAAATGCAAATGATCACTAATAAGTGTTAGTGGCTACCTATCTGCATATATTTACTGTAGCACTGTATATATATTTCCATGTTCTGAACACAAATATTTCCCTAGGCATTTAGGAAAAATATGATCTGTGATCAGCCAGGAGGATTTTTCTACAGTCAACATGTTGTTTATTTGCACTTAAATACGGCACCAATAATTTGAAAAAGAGAAATAGTCTGATTATAGCTAGAGACTGTGCAGAGGCTGGGGTTTCCATCACGGACTGCTTTCAACTGTTGTATTTTATGGCACAGATTCAGTGAGAATCTGATCTGCTAAAATATTTGGGCTGTGAAAACTCCCACACTGTGACAGATGTCAAGTCCAATTAAGTGACTAGTGTCCAGGTTTCTGTCCAATAGGATTTCGCATTAAATATCAATTTTGGGGGGAAAATTCCATCCCCCTTCTTAAGCCTTTATCTCTTCCACCATCTCCAGGCGAAATCAATTGGTGCCAGGAGAGCCAAGAAGCCACATGCCTCTCTGCCTCTCCGCTCTGTGCTCCCACCCTCTCCCTGTCACCGGGACTCGGGAAGAAGAAGACGTTCACTTTCTACCAACCTTTCTCCAAGCATCTCCAAGCCACTGACTATATGTGTTTTGCTATAAGGTAAAGAAAAACGGTGGGCTGGGGAGGGGAGAGGGAACCAAACCTTGAAAGACTTTGAAACTGGAAATAAGTATTTAGGCAACATCCAAATAAAGGAGGGAAGAGGAAGAGGCAAGCTAAACCTGAGTTACAGTATTGTGTTCCTGGGAACCGGGAAACATCAGCTGAACAAAGCCTTATCCAAAAAACAAAACAAAACAAAACAAAAACCCCACTTCTGAGCAAGATCGCATCTCTGCTTTGCACTTCCCAGTTTCTACTCAGCCTCTTTGCGGGAAGGAAAAGAGTCCAGCAAGTGCGGAATCTTATCTTAACCATCCTCTTTATCTTCCTTATTGATTCCTCCGCTATTAGAAAGTGAAGGTATCAGCCCTTTGATGTGATCTGGTTATCTCTGCATCTCTTTTGTTATTTATAGAGACACTGAAGAAGAGGCACGAGACTTTTCAACACATCGTTTAAAAACAAAACAAAACAAAACAAAACAAAAAACCCAAAAAAACCTGACAACGAATTTCCGGAAATGTTTGAGAACAATTAAAAGGAAAAAACGTTTTTGATCTATCAACTAAGTGAACAGTCACTCCCGTGTCCACGTCCTGAGATATTACCGTCCCTTGCTGTGGAAACCAGCGAGATGACAGCTGTTTTTTCCTTTTTGAATGTAATAAATATTTGCTGCTTTTGATATATTTCGGAATTTCTTCCCCCTGCTTTTTCCTGGAATTTTAACTCTAAAAGATTGGAGAAAAGATTATCAGAAAGGCTTTTACAAGGTAAGACTTCTTTAAATCATCTCCTCCCCCGCCCCCAGATCGAAACTAAGTTAGATTATTCATATAAATGTATTTCAGTTCAGCTGTCAAAAAATTAAAATGCACCCCCACATGCTTTCTATGATTTTTTTTTCTTAATCTGGAGAAGAAATGAAATGCTTTAAGAGCAACCCAGGAACTTTTAACTGAACAACAACTATGTTGTGGCTCATTGTGATTTTTCCCCACTGCTCGCCTATCTATTTATGCCCTTTGCAGCCGATTGTGTGGTTGGAGTCGCTCTCTTATAAACGTACCGGCGGAAAGCCCGGAGGGAGTCTCGCGGGTTCGCTCGAACATTTGTTTTATTTTGCCTTAGAGGTGCTGATTTCCTCCAAGGGAAATGCAAGTCGTTTAGGAGCCGGATTCGCTCCTGAGCGAGCGCGAGGCTTGGCGCATCCGCCTCCCCGGCTTTTGTCTCCCTGGGAGCGCGGCGTCCTCGGGATCGGGACTGGCCCTGCCCGCGCCCCGCGGCCCAGCCGTGCAGCTGGCCAGGTCCTGCGGCCCTTCCGAGGCGCGGCCCGGGGGTCCCTGGGCGATGGGGGACGCGGCCTTTCCGGGGGCCTCGTTAGCGACAGGCTGAGAGGGCCGCGGGGCCGCGGACAGCTCCGAGCCACAACTTGGCGGGGGGCGCCCCCTCCCCGCGCGGCCCCTCCTCGCAGCCCGGCCCCGGGCGCTGTCCCGAGCGCTGTCGCCGCATTGTCTCCCGGTCGCCGTGTCTCGGGCCCATGTGCGCGGCTGTGTGCGCGACAGATGGTGCTCCGGGCGCCGACGGGGGCGTAGGACGCAGCTACCAGACGACGGGCACCGCGGCGTTGGCTTAGGGGCTTTATTCCGGGGAACAGCGGCCGCGGTCCCTCCGCGCGCGCAGGGGTCCCGCTCCGTGCCCCGCGCTCAGTGCCCGGCCCCGGGGGCCCTCGAGGCGCCCGGAGCCGTCGGCCGAGCCCGCCGCCCGCAGCGCCGCTGCTCGGCCCGCGGGTCAGGGCGTGGGGGGTCAGGCGGGCCCGGCCTGGCCTGGCCTGGGGGTGCCCCCCGCGCCCCCTCCGACAGGGTCCATGCCGCTGACCGCCTGACTCTGTTCCTGGGCAGCCCCCAAGATGATGCTGAGCCCGGACCAGGCCGCCGACTCGGACCACCCCAGCTCGGCTCACTCGGACCCAGAGTCGCTGGGCGGCGCGGACGCCAAGGTGCTGGGCAGCGTGTCGGACCCGGAGCCGGTGGAGGAGGCCGAGGGCGCCGGCCCCGGCGGCCGCGCCGCGCTCTACCCGCACCCGCCGCAGCTGAGCCGCGAGGAGAAGCGGCGCCGCCGGCGCGCCACGGCCAAGTACCGCTCGGCGCATGCCACGCGCGAGCGCATCCGCGTGGAGGCCTTCAACCTGGCCTTCGCCGAGCTGCGCAAGCTGCTGCCCACGCTGCCCCCCGACAAGAAGCTCTCCAAGATCGAGATCCTGCGCCTGGCCATCTGCTACATCTCCTATCTCAACCACGTCCTGGACGTGTAGGCCCGCGTGCCGCGCGCCCTCCGCGCGCCCTGGTCTGTGCCAGCGGCCGGAGGGCGGAGGCCGCGGCCACCCACGGGACGGCGGCCGCGAGAGACTGCACGGAGAAGGAGCTCGGGACCGGCCTCGGGCCTGCAGGGCAAGCGTGGCAGGTGGAAGGTGGGCTGCCTGTCTGGCAAGCTCCCGGGCTGCAGAAGCGGGCTGGCGGGTGGGGAGGGGAGAGGCCCGGCCTGCGAGTCTCCTGGAGGTACCCGAGGCACCCCCCGCACCCCAGCCTCCCCTCCAGCGGTGGGATCCCTCTAAGGTTTCTTGCTTTAGCGCGCTGGAGACTGAGTTCTCCCAAATTCATCTCCCCCAGCTCCGTGTTTTCAGGGATGGAATGCGGAGGCTCGAGGATAGGCTGACAACTCCTGACGAGCTGGATTTCCTTCTCATTGACAAATCACCAAACATTCGAGGAAGAGGAGGGCATTCCCCCGCCACCGTCCAGGTCTAAGGCGCAGGAAGGCGGAACAGGAGAACTTTCCCGTTCTGTTCTGAAAAGGAAGATTATGTTGGAAGCCAGGTCAAACAGACAGGCCCTGCTCGCTTGTTGAAGTTGAAAACAGACGTGGAGAACATTTTGGGAAGATGTGAGTTTAGTGAGATTGGTACCCCTAGGTATGGTACTCATGTAGACAGGAATATCCATATTTAAATGGAGAATTTAATATCTGATTGCTTTTTCAGGCGAAGTGCCCCTTTATATATCCAAAAACATCTATTTGTGACCTTAAACATGTGGACCCATAGGTGCAGTTAGAAAAAGACAACCTATTTTTATTTATGTTAGAAGGAGTAGAGTATTTTTTTCAAGACATTTATTTTTCAGAGTGGTGATAATTTTACTTTGAATACTCTGTGCCAATTTATTTATAGTCGAGTGTTTACACTTTTTCCTGTGGAATAATTAAGTCTAAATTTTTACGTGTTTGTTGAGATTATACTGTGGTCTTTTTTTTTGACTCTAATTATATTGCACTTGTATAACAAATCTCCCCCTTCTCCCTGTTTCTAAACATATTTTATATATTAAGATGTTTGTTCTTGAACGGTTCTTTTGTTGTGAGATCGGAAACACTAGCACTTCACTATTATAGTTTTTTAAAAAAGTGTTGTTATTCTTATTTGTAGTTCTGTCTGAAAAGTACTTTACAAACTGTTTATAAGGAGAGTAGCTTCTTTGTGCGTGTGATGTTGGTGTGTGGGATAATTTTAGGAAATTAAGTTATTTTCCTAAAAAAAAAAGAATTCATAACTACTTTCCTCTGTGATGACCAAAAAGAAAAGTCTATAACCTGAAAATGTTTCATGTTCTCAGCTGTGAAACTCTTAAAAACAAGGAGTGTATTTTAGAGACAAGGGAAAAAAAACCACATCTGCTATCCAAAGATTTAGTCTTTTTCAGGGTTTTTTTGTGTCTGTGTTGCTTTATATAATGCAATATTTTGTAGTGAAAATAGATAAAATCTGGTTTCTATCTGACGAGTTTTTCATATCTCATGAATGGTGCACTGTTTTGCATATAAATAAAGGTATCAAATAAGCTCTTTGCATTTATTTCAAGCATACTCTCTGAAAATAATGATCATACAAGCTGAGCATGAAATATCCTTGTGGACTCAATTACTCAGAAAGGCACCAGGTGGGTGGGGCTGGGGGGGAAGGAACAAAATAAAATCTTGACATATTCATGTATTAAGACATTTGACGTTTTTCCTGTACCTGACTTTGGTCAGTCTCTGTATATGAGGTGGACATAACGTAGGGCTTCTTCACAGTAGTTCACACCAGCAACCTGTGGCCTGCTTTGTACCTGAGAAATTTTCACAAAACTCCAGGTATAAAGGTATATAAAATAGGTGTATAGATCCAACGTTTACTGGTCATAAACCATAAATAAATTTATTTTAAAACAAAACTTTTTTTCACAACCCCCCACATTCAGTTACACAAGCCCCACAATTTATGAACGTGGGATAAAGGTCAGATTTTTCTAAATGAGGGGAAAAATCTAGTATTCTATCAAAATTTTATCTCAGTGATAGTTTTTAACTCTGAAAGGACACTTGCTAACTAAAACCTTTTTTAAATTAAAATTCTAAATTAAAGCACCATGATTTACAAAGTTATTAATCGTTGAGTTTCAGATTATAACATTGCAGCACTGGTCCCACCACCACCACCAGCTTCCCTCCACCGATGTTCCCAGGCTCCCTCCCATACCCCCTCTTAAGCCTGCCCTCTTGACAGGCTTCTTTCTAAGTTTGGTTGTTAAAGTTTGGGTCTCTTGATTTCAGTGTTGACTCTGTTGTTCGGATATTTGTCTCTGTCTCTATCTTTATAACTCCACCTTTTCACCTTAATCCCCTGACCTAACCCCTATTGCTTCTCATCTGTCTCTTCTCCCTTTCCCCTTCACTCATTCTTCTCTGGGGCCAAGGTTGATCAGAACATCCCCCATTTAAACATTGCATTTTCTCATCCAGTTATTCTAAATACCTCATGTCAGTGATTTTTGAATTTACTTTTATTTTTATAAAGTTGTTCACAATAGTTCATTACAGATAATATACAAGCACCAATCTCACCACCGATGTGCCTTCCCACCACCATAAGAGGAAGGTGTGTGAAGATTATTGTATTTCATCCTGTAGCCATTTAAGCCCTTGTATAAGATATTACAAATATTTATGTTAAACCCAAACAAATGGGTGCTACTTTTGGTCCATCAGTGGTCTAGAGTATGGGTTGCATGACCGCATTTGTGGCCGTGTGCCCAGAACATTATGTGTTGCTCTCTTCTGGGAACTTTATTTCATAGTCTCTGGATCTTCACCATTGATGAGATTATGTGGTGCTCGAGGCGGTTTGTGGGTGTGACTGCCAAGCTACTAGAAAACTGGGGAGCTGGGGGGAGGAGGCCCAGTCCCATTCCAAGCGAGCTTAGAGATCTCAGTCATAGGTTCTGCATATCTGGGTTTTTCTGCAGGTTCCCCATAGATGAGGCTCATCTGAGCCTGTTGAGAGTGTTGGTGACCATGGCTGTGTGGTTGGGTTCTGGAGGTTTTCAGCTGCTGGGGTTCTACTGGGGTGGGGAGAGAACTCAATCTGCCCCCCCCCCCCAGTTGCCCCAGTGAAGACAGCCTGGTGCGGAGTCAGGACCTTCTGTATATAAGTGATTTCATCTTATGTTTCTCCTTCTTCTTCTGGCTTAGTTCACTTAGCATGATGTCTTGTGGTTCCTTCCATATTGCTGTGAATTTCATGATTTCATCATTCCTTATAGCTGCATAGTATTCCATTATGTATATATACCACATATTCATGATCCACTTACCTGTTGTTGGACATCTAGGCTGATTCCATATCTTAGCTATTGTGCTGAGTGCTGTAATGAATAATGATGTTCATACATCCTTTTGAATGAATATTTCTCTGTCCTGGGCTAATTCCTTTTTTAAAATTTTTATTACATTCAATATTCCAACACAATCCCATCACCATTATACCTTTCCATCACCATTACTTCGAATTTTCCCACTACCACCCAAGCCTTTCTCAAAGGATGATCCTCAATAATTTATTTTGTATTGCTTGTTATGAATAATCAGCTAAAATGATCTTAAAAGATTACTAAGTGTTGTTACAGGTTGAGCCTTGTGCGCTAGTACATATATATATATATATATATATTTTTTTTTTATTGAGATTGGTTGCCTTCTACTTTTCACCCCAACAAAGTTGGTGTGCTGCACTAGGTACACCAGTGGCATAGAGTATGGAATGTCACACAGGTGCATTTACTGCCACATGGTCCAGGGATTTTAAAATGTTAAATAGGGTGATAGAGCTTGAGTTAAATTTTTAACTGGATGGTGACTTTGGGATCTAGAGATATCTCTGAAGCTTGTGGCTCTCTTACAAGAATTATTTGTGAGTCTCTGGATCATGGCTGTTAATGAACTTATATGGGGCCAGATGCCAGGCTCCTGGAAGAATGGGGGGGTTGCCCATTTCTGACTCCATGGGATCTGGAGATTTCAGTCACAAATCCCACATACCTGGGTTTTTCAGCAGATTCATTCTCCTCATGAGGATCATTTCGAGGTATGGAGATTGGCCATAAACATGGCGGCTATTGGTTTCTGGAGATTTTTGGCTGCCTGGGATCTGTTGGGGAAGGTGCTGGGCTCACCCACCACTTTCTGGGGCTCCAGATGAGACTCAACCTGGAGGGGGTGTGGAGGCATCTAACTCTTTAAATGGGAATTTGGAGACTAAAGCCCAGGGACTTTAAGAGACTGGCAACAAGTGACTTTGCTGCTCAATGGAAGTGACAGGAGCTCCAATACAATAACACTACAGCCTACAGCCTCATGTAGTCAAAGGATGTGCATGACTCGAACTCCTAACCAGGACAAAGATTCAGCACATGACACCTTCAAGCAAGAAAAAATAAGTCTTGAGCCAGTCTTGGGAATGTAATGTACTAAAGCTGATGGTTTTAAAATGTGGGTGTTTCTGTCTGTAGACAACAGCACACACACACACACACACACACACACACACACACATTTGCAGAGTAATACTCTTAGATGAATACCTGGTGGATATCCACATAAATATCCAGATAAAAGCATTTTCATTTTTTACCCAGGTAAATTATAGATTGATTTTTTCCGGAGTGGTAGGAGTGCTACCCAGCAGTGTTCAGGTCTTACTCCTGGCTTTGTGCCCAGGGGTCATTGCTGATGGGGCTCAGAGGACCATGTGTCGTGCTGGGGATTGAATCTGCATGGGCTGTGTGCAAGGCACACAGTGTATCTTACCAGTTGTTCCGTCTCTCTGACCCCAAGTTAGGTTCACAGATGAAATGGTACTTGACTCTATTTCTTATGGAAGTGCTGGGTAAAGAAGCACATCGTAAGACTTAAGAAAATGGTGCAGTCTTTGATGATTTGTATCTGGATCAAGTCCTGATCACTGAAACAGAGTCTGGTCACCAGGACAGCAGACACAAGCTCTCTGTGAATTGAGTGCCACAGGCCATTCCTTCTCTGGAAGCTGGGAGACATGATTACCCAGACCTTATACTCTGTGATAGAAGAATCTGGCCTTG